CGCGCGGCTGGCAACTCTCTCGGCAGACAGCGAACACTCAGTAAAAGGCAACCCGACACTACCTCAATTCCTACTGGAACTTTTAATATAATCCTGCGACTGGAAGTTTTCAGCGTCTGACTTGTTGTCACTTGTTCACATTATTTATTTTTTAATTTATTAACTTTTGGTCAAGCTTGGCTGTCTGCTTTTGAAAACTTCATTTAACAGACTTTATCGATGATTATAAAATACAAAATGCTTAAAACAGATGAAATCAGACACCATTTCTTTCTATGTGACTGTTCCCAATCATAGTGTCACAAATACACAGGCTTGCAAAACCTCATTTTTAGCTGTTGTTGTATTTTCTTTTACGTCTATTATATTTCTCGATCTTTGTATGAAATATAAAATGCAAGTGAATAAAACAAACATTGAAGCAAAAACAGATTTTTAAAAATCCAATTTGGAGTTTTGTGTTAACTTTTTCCGATGCTAAAAGAAAAATACGAACGCAGATATTTAAATTCTTTTTAGCTACTGCTTGAATTACTTTTAAATGTTTCAGTTAATTTCTTTGTATAAATTACAAAATCTAAATAAATAAAACAAACTTATAAATGTCCAATTTGGAGATTTTTTTTTTTTCAAAAATATTTACTCTGCTTTGCAGATTAGATGAAAGACAAATAAATGGAAATTCGTCATTTTATAATTATTCGATAAGATAATAAATTGGTGGGTTAAAATGATAAAATTTTACGTTTGTAGTTTATTTTCCTACCTTTTTAGGTTGGGGCATTTGATAATTGAAGAAACCGAAAAAAACTTTTTTCTTTACAAATATATGAATGTAAGATTTTATTGGAACCATTATTATTCACTTAATTTGTCATTAACTACTCAAACTACTGTGATTATTTGGGGGTTATCTCTCACTGCACATGAGTCATTAGATTACGAATCTTAAACGTTAATTAGTTTTTATTCAAACCTAATCAAGTGTAAAAAATAATAGCCTAAAACTAAAACCTAAATAGCCTAAAACTCTTCTCACTTCTCACCCAAACCTAATCTTAAGCTAATCCCACGCAATCTAATAAAAGCATTAATCACAATTGAAACAAAGGAAAAACGATCGTTTAAAAACATGAATCACTATTTACGCGCGGTGTATTGTCCTCATCTTTGTAATCACAACACTTCGGCCGGTGTGCCCTCCGGCCTTGATCAGTTGTATGTTAATCCAGGTAACCTACAGGGAATTTGAAAGTGAAACATTCATTTAATCTACAGTGTTAAACTGTTCTTGTTCCGCTGCCCATGTCTAGGGATATCTTGTCTCATGCAATAGCCCGAGTATAAATAATAACTTCGTGTCCAAGAAATTCAGAGAAAAGAAAGTCTATTTAGAAAAAGTATTTTAATGTCTCTCAAGCTTTTTGTGGAGGTACAGAAAAATATTAGCTGAAAGAAACAATCAACCTCTGCTTTGAGAAGAGCAATGGTACTATTATACGGTGATGCTAAATAAATTTCAAATCATGAGACAAATACAGTTTGAAAACATTTTACCTGACAATGAAGATAATCTCGTCAAATACAAAACAATTCATAAAAATCCCTATACCAACTATTCTCACAGAAGTTTAGTATAAATTTTCATTAGCTACAAACTAATATATATATATATATATATATATATATATATATATATATATATATATATATATATATATATATATATATATATGAGTGTGTAAGTGTAAAATAAAAGCGCGCCATGTAACGTCCAAGAAAAAAAAAAACAGACATTCAATAGAAAAATGCAATATTATTTGCATATATATATATATATATATATATATATATATATATATATATATACACCATGCTCCCTAAAGTACGTGTGAAATTTGCTGTAAGGCTTACTTTTTTTTTAATTTGATACATATATATAAATTATATAACGTTGTTTAAAGAACAACGAATGTTCTTTGTTGAAGATATTTTTATTTATTGTTTTTATATTTCAAACCATTTTCTTAATTTCCGGTATATATTAAAATATAAACTATCCAATGGCAAATATTTTCGGCTTTCATAAGCCATTATCAAAAAGGTTTTGTTTGTTGTGCTATGTTGTTTTCATCATTTTCAAACATCGTAGCTTTCCTTCTTCACGTGAGAGTTCATGTTAACGATTTTTTATTGAAATATATTTAGTGTTTTTTTTCCTGAACTGACATTTTAGTTAGATTGTTTTGCTTTCTTGTGAAAATGCCTATAAGGCTGTGCATGTATCAAAAGACATTTTGTTTGTAAATAAATGACAGATACCGAAACGTTAACATTCTAATCTAAGGTTTTTGTTCTGAAATGAACATAAGCTTAGATTCCAAGAATCGGTATAAATAACGTAAGACAAAGTTACATCTAGTGACGAATTACCTTGATCATATGGAATACGTGCAAAGGGTACTTTCACGTGGTGTAATGGTCAGCAAGTTTGTCTTGCGAGATCAATTGAGACTGAGTGCCCCATACTTTCGGCCTTGTGCCACATCTAAGCTACGCCTAGAAACTCATTTGGACACTTCGATGTGTAATAGCTAGCAATCTTGTCTCGCTAGATCAATTATGACTGAATAGTGAGTTCGTTCCTCACTAGGCGTCCCATACTTTCGGCTTGTGTCACATCTAAGCTACACTTAGAAAATCACCATATGGAATACGTTCAGGAGTAGCACAGTCTGATCGAAGTATTTTAAACGGAGAAGCCATTCACACTTTTCATAAACAAATATTTTCCCCTTTATTGTGATTCTAACCTTTTGTGAATGTGCTGATGATGACATAAGATAATAGAAGCTAATACTAAAGAAGAAATAAACATAATTTCAAATGTTGGTTTCTATATATAATCGTTATCTTTGTACACTTTAGTTTGTATTAACAATTTTATTGATGTGTGAATGCGTAATTTTCTGCTTTGCGATAATACAAGACAATTTGTGTCCAAGTTTGCTGGCGAGACGATGTTAGGATCCACACCATTAACTAATTTCTTAGGTTGTTGTTAAGGACCTTGGAGTTTTTGATTGCTACATTCTAAAGGACATTACTTCGTCTCCAAACATTCAATTCACTATTTGTCTGAAGTGATCTATTAATGAATGTGTGTCATTCATATCTGTATAAGTCCAGTCAGTTGCTGAATTTTGTTAACGGGGTTCTTTTTAGGTTTCCTTCAGAATATATTCTTATTGAATGTTACTGTTAAAATCGCTTTCTATAAGGCTGACACAACCTGTCAAAATTATTGAATTCGTTGGATGTGTCTGCTGGTAACATGTTTCTTAGAAAGCATACCCATCACGTTTTCTCAACCTTACATGTAAAGAACAGATTTTATTTCACATATCTAAAATCTTTACCGATTGAGTGTCTGTCATTTCATAATAACTGAATAAACATTATTAGATGTAAGAATATTGAAAACTGAATATTTATCGCATTGTGAAACAACATTTTATGCAAACACGTACACACATACACACATACAGACACATAATTCCACGCATAAACATACGAGTATATATATATATATATATATATATATATATATATATATATATATATATATATATATATATATATATTTGTGCGTGTGTGCTTATTTGGATAGCAATTTTTCATTTGTTTTTTGTTAATTATTTTTCTATATTTCAGACTATAACCTTGCTTTACAGTGAATTTTTAAACATAAATTGACCAATATCTGAGCACTTTCATCTTTTATATCCATAAGAATTCTTTATGCTATGTCAGTTTCAAAATTTTTCGAATATTTTATTTTTACGTGTTATGTCGATTTTTTAATATATCGCGTCTTCACGTGGAAGTTCGTTTTATCGTGTCATTTTTATTAAGTATATTTAGTGTAACAGATATAATGTGTGTGTATGTACATATATATAGATTGATATGATTATTATTTGTTAGTAAAATATGTTTGAAAAATGTAGCAATTTCTGCATCACTAAACATTAACGTCTTTATCTTCATTTTTCTCACGAGAAAATGGTCATTTTAAGTGAGGCTGGACCAAAAGAAAAAAAAATAGGATTCATTTAACAGCTACATTGAAAAAAACATCTTTAATATTAAAGATAACTGTTTTTATTGGTCAGTTGAGGTGTCAAATCACTATATTTATATTAATCATGGATCGAAGATGGTACGTGAGAATTAAATTTTAGATGCAAGACAAAAGAATATTTCTCTTTCTTGCAACAGCAGATAAATACAGATTCGTTTGTTCCAAAATCTAGCTTCTTTCTCCTGCTTTGAGCAATGTGACACCGATGCTGTATGTTTATAAAGCCTTACATATCGATATGTAGGTAGTTTTTGTTATTTTTCAATATCAATTTTTAGTTGATTCAATTATTATTTTCGTTCACATGTATATATCATATTACTTGCTGATAAAAAATTCCTGCTCTGTTGGCTTACAATAGTCTTAGTTAAGTCGGACACAAACAAAAAATATGCTCAGATAATGCAAGCAAAAGCGATTGCACATACGTATATATGAATATATTATTGTATGTTTTAAGAAAACGAGTAGCGTATACTTTAGACCTCAGATGAAGTTGACATAAATAGTTTTACAACATTCAATAAGTACAGATGCTGAAGAATATATTAAAAAACCCGTTGACAAATTCAGCAAATGACTGGACTTATAAACACGTGAATGATACTTTTATTAATATAAAATTAAAAACAGATTTTTCCCATTATCGAAGATGATGCCACTTATCCACAAACATCTACAATTCTCTCTCAAACCAGAAGAGGTGCATCTATTTAATTAAAGTTCTTGTAAAAAATATCAGTATTCTTTAAAAATTGCTGAATCTTTCCTGTTCCTATACTGACATAATATTAATTAGAATCCCTGAGGAATAATGTGAAAAAAATTAATTAATAGGGGCAATGTCGATTGCAATATGCTATGTAAATATAAAAAGTTGTTCATAATTGGCATGAATCACTTGTCAGGTTTTACAAATATGCCATAGCCACGACAATGAATTAACAGATGCAAGAAAGAAATCAGTCAAAAAAAACACACAAATGATGCAACTGTCAATAAGATACCAGTACTGAAAAATATCTTTTCTAAACACATTATTGTTTATGGCATACTTATTTAGAATACATGAGTCATATAATTTAAAAAAATAAAGCTATAGCCAGTTCTCCGAGTCTTAAGTATTTCTATTGCAATCATTGTCTGCATTATTTCGATCTTGTCCTTTTTCATCATCTCCCTTACACGATACTCTCCTCCTCCTATTCCATTTTAAACCTTTCCCGACTCTCTTTTTATCTTCCGGAATTCTCTCTCTCTCACACACACACTCTCTCTCTCTCTCTCTCTCTCTCTCTCTCTCTCTCTCTGTCTTTCCCTGCTTTATTTTTATTGCTCCCACTCCCTTTTTTTGTTGTTGTTTTATTTTTAATTCTTGATATTAACAAAGTTTAATTTTGTATCGTGCAGAGTTAATATGTGATTATATTCTTCATCATTTCAGTCATAAAAATCTACATTTGAAATCCTAGTTATTTCATCTGAGCTTGAACCCTAACCACTAACGTCAGTGGGAAAATATATAATTACCACATATACGAAGCAAATCACTCGTTCTGTGTCTTCTGCCCTTGTCTTGTTTTTTCTTCAACTTATTATTTTCTCTTTATTATAACATTTTCTTCTTCATTATAACGTAACAAAATACATTTTAATTAGTCTGTTTTGAACAGAATGAATATCAAAAGAACATCCTTTTATTTGTATAACTATACTAATGTATTTATACATTCTGAATCCCTGTCTACACCATAAGTATATCTTCTCAACTTTCATATGGCAAAAAATATCAATTCTGGTGAAAATGTAATACTCAAGGTATTTTATGTTTAGTCTAATAACAGTAAATCATTTGCTTCAAATTTTCTTAGCCAATTTAAATCATTGTTTCAATTACAGTATTTTTTTCAAATGTAGCGTTGATATTCTGGAAATTTGCTTTTGTCTAAATAGCTTTGAATAAATAAAATATTTTTTAGAATTCTGTATTTTGAACAATTTTGTACCTTTTCTGACATGTCTAGTGAAATTTTCTGTGTTTTTAGCAAGTTTTATTTTTTCATTAAGTAATTCAATTTGCTGTTTTTGTTTGTTTTTATTCGTTTTTGTTTTTCTTAATCCTAACCCGGTGCGTAAACCTTTCAAAAGAGGACGTTGTATAAAATGAAACATAACGAGGTAAAGTATCTATCATTGTTAGTATAAATGTATCATTTTGAAATATTTCTATAAAAGTAGTGATTTGGGCTAAGAAATAAAATACCTCTCTTTTTATAGAACATATAAAAATCCTCTTGGGTTATTCAACTGAATAAATCAAATTATATTATAGTTCGGTTTTCGACATTTTTGATACGCTTCTTCGGCATCAATATAATCTTTGTATTCTACGAATAACACTGATAACATTTGACATCAAAATGTCTTATGTTTAATCATTTGGCCAGAACTCACTGTGTGTAGGTGGGTGTGTGCGTGTATAGTGATTCTGTGTCTGTGTGAACATAAGAATCAACACTTTTTGCTAGCTAGCAGTTTCATGCTTCAATAATCCTCAAAACAGGTTTAACTTTATCTGAAGATCAATTTTAATCGAGAAATTGGTGCTGATTATGTAGTGCTGATTCAGTTGTTCATAATGACTCCCCCTCGATACATACATACATACATACGTGCATATATATATATATATATATATATATATATATATATAATAGCTGGCTACTCATGTTCGAGGATACCCGTCTACTAGGGCAGCTAGACAATCACTATTGCAGACTCCCGCTCAGGCACATTTGTATTTGTTCAACATCCATAGAGCCAAACTGTGGTTTATACTGCAACTATGCTTAGCGGACTTAAGTTACATTTTCTGGGAAAGAGTGTGTTATCTAGCATGACCAACAATCTGAACAACACCAGCACACTCAAACCCATCGGTCACGATGACTTGTTACTTTGTGCTAGCCCAGATATCGACGCTTCTCCCCCAATAGTTTCGTCTACCCAATTTCACTTACGAGGCTTGGGTCAACCCGTGCTATGGTTTTCAGGCAGTTTCTAAAGGTGCCGCACGCTGGTATCGTCCCCTCCAGACCGTTAACATCAGGAAGTCTCCTTCCTAGCAATCAACCGTGGTGAGATTCAAACCCGGGTCTCATGGTCAGAAAGCGCGCGATCTAGCCACGCGCTTATATATATATATATATATATATATATATATATATATATATATATATATATATATATAGCTCAAGGTTATTACCTTTGCAAAACTGATTCCCTTAATCTATTCATTAAAGGTATGCCATTTTCATTCCTCAATCTGAAATATCAAAAAAAAAAAAAGTAAAAGAAACAATATATGAATATTACGGAGCTAAGCTTTATATCCTTGGAGTATTATTTGGAAATTATCACAAATTCAAATTATTGAAGATTTCGAGTTATTTTAAAAATCTCCCTCCGTCTGATTACCCCTTTATTGAACTGTTTCAGATATACTATTTCTGAAGAATGAAGCCAAATGAATTTTACAAAAAAACTGTATTGTGAAGTTCTAAATTGTCACAAGTTTAGTGGGAATGATAAATCCTGCGTTAACGAATGTAATCTAAGCAGGATTTTTAAAAATATTTTTCTGATTTCATATTCAGACATCATTTGTGTAATGACCAGATTTTTTTTTTATTTATGTCAACAGTTTTTGCCCAATCTGAAACATTTTTCCTCTTTCTTATAATCCTCCCGCCTTTATTTTTATTCACTTTTTCTTTTATTTCTCCCGTTCTCAGTTTTTTTCACTCTACTATTCTTTACTGTCTCTCCCTTTTCTCTTTTGCTGCATCTTCTTTTTTCTGTCATTTTCACTTTCTTTTTCAGCTCCTTCTCTCTTTCTCTCTCGCGCACACGCACATCTCATTCTTACTACTTCCTTTCTCTCAAATTCAAAAAGACATTATTTTTCATCATTCTCACTGTTTTCGTTCTTTATGTTTCTTTTCACTACACTCAAATATGTACTATTTTCATTGTGGCTGTGTGGTTCTGACGTATATTTCCAAACTTAATTATTCCCCTTTAACAATAATTTTCAAGAATTTTGATGTGATAAATTTTGCTTTAGATTAATCTAATAAACGCACATGTGATACAATGAGGCTATATTGGCCTTTTAAGACGTTAAGGTGAAGAGAATAAATAATTTAAAGATTTCATACAAATGATATAGTCATTATGATTGGTAATAATGCAGTTAAAAAAAACAATATGGAAAAGAAATCTATTTTTCAAAATTTACAGCTTCATCTTAGGTGTCTAATAAAATATTTTAAGAATATTTTAACACTTCCTATGAGTCCTTATTTAATGGATGCATGTTTCGATTTTATCTTTGCATGAATCTTTGCGCATATATTCACACGTTAATGGATAATTTCTTTCCTCGAAAAAGTGCACAGAGCCCGGTTTAGTTGGCCATTATTTGGAAGAAATACACGCATATTATTAAATCTATTTTGGCATATTCTCAAGAAATATCTCAGAACAAAATAAACACAGATTTTCCTGACCCATCTTATTAACGAATACTTAATGCCAATTCCCTAGCTAAAATAAATTTCTTTTCTTTTTTTTATCAAGTTTTTGAAGTTATCCATTTATTTCTTGTAGTATGCGAATCACGTTAGCTGATGCTGAGAATAGACTTTGCACTCATGATCACACCAAACCATCAGAGAAGCCAGATATATCAGTGGATTGATATGATATCTTCGTAGCCACTAGGTGCAGATTCGAGCCTCATAGACTGTCAGTGGCTGCCTCCGATATATGAACAAGTTATCGATTTAGCTGTACTTAGAATGTGCACGCGTAGGACAGCCGATGTTATAAAAGATATATGTTGAAAATTAAAATAATAAAAAACACATTTTTTTAATTTTTCGTATGTACACTTATTTTGTAGATACGCTGTATTTTATTTTAAAATTAAAACAAATGTATCCAAATGTAAGCTATTAGCACATGCGTTGTTTGCTAGTTTAATGATTTTTTTTTATCGCAGACATGTATTATCCTCTGTTTTAGTGATGATTTTTTATATACTAAGGGGAAAAGGAAAGGTAACTGATCAATTTATCTTGCTCATATAGGGTTTTTTTGTGCGTATGCAAATTGACTCGTTTGAATTTAGACACACATTGGAGATGCACATAATAGAGTGTGTTCGAGAGTTGTTTTTGGCAGAACAGAGTTGTTAGCCAGAACGGAGAGTAAGGCCATCATCCCTTCCTCTCTAAACTCATGACGGTTCGTCAGCAATAGCACAACAGGTGTCATCAATGTCTCCATGACGACCGCCAATCACAGAACAAAGCGAAAGATTTTTTTCACGAAGAAAGCGGTTTCTGCACCTTTCAAGGCAAACTCTCGTGTGAACCAAAATTATTCTTCTTTAAATATTCGGCAGATTAAAAGCCGAATTTTTAAAGGATTGAATTTAAATCCTTTATTAAGACCCTTAGTGGTTTCATGAAACATTTAATAATAAAAAACAACAGCTCTGATGAAAAGATACAAGAGATACAATTTTCGTTTCGCTAGTAACTACAAAATTCATTTTATTTACATGTTTCATGTTAAATGGTTGAAGATAATCCCATAGCACTTAAACCTACTATTAGTGCAAGTCATGTATTATTCATTTATGTCTACATCTAACTGTTGTTTATATTGTAAATAAAGTTTTTCTTAATTCTATAAACGTCGAGCGTTTTTGTTGTTTTTCTTTCCTTTGTTTACATTGTTAACCTTCATAATGGGATGAATTTATTGATAATAAAACATTCAAGTTGCCACCACTTTTTTGTTTCTAGTATTATCGCCCCATGTTCACGATCGCTGGTGTCAACGCACAATTTATTTTTCCGGTATATATTAGCACCCACCAGAAAGGGAAGAATAAAATTCACAAACTCGCGAGACAAAAAATCTACGTTCGAAGAAAACCTCAAAGCCACACACCCACTTAGCGATATAAATTGACGAAGATTTTAATAAAAAAAATACTTTTATGTATGAGGAATTTAATTTTGTATTCTTTGTACAACGATAATGTTACATTTTTATCCAAAACGTTAGATTAGGCCAGCCGGAAATCCAAGAGTGCTATATTTATGTATGCATTCCCAATACACGCACGTATATGCAAATACAAATAGATCCACACAAACGTTCGAGTAGGTTTTTTCAAAGAGTTGCGCACAAAGTAAAGTATTCATGGGTACAACACAAAAATATATGCACATAAAATAAACATACGTTTACTGATAAAGTCTCAAATCAGACAAATATATGTGTGCACTCATCGCTGCATGTCACCTTAAAACTTGCACAGGCCTGAGGGATGTTCTACGCACTTGCATTAGACGTGGAAAGCCCTCCAAAACCTTTGTTCACGAAACCAATCAATATATATGTGTGTGTATGTTTGTGTGTGTATAGTTATGAACGCACACATGAATATTATACTTATTCTTAACAATATGAAAACCTATATACGTGAATGTTTACATACCCGCTCATACCAGTCACATAATGCACTTTAGCATGAGTATACACATTAACTACTACACTTTTTCGTCTACAAACAAATGGAGATAGAAAAGTTCATGCAGACATTCATATATTAATTTATAAATTATATGCGGGAGAAGCAAATTCTCTTTTTTGAATCGTTGATTGAAAACCACGGACATATATCTTCTTCGCAATAGTTTTTATATCATTTTCTTGTTTTCTTACAAATGCATGACGGTTCAAATTACAGATGTACTTTCCGATATTATTTCTCCAAGTAATTTCAGCCACTTTAGCCATCTCCAAGAAGTAAAGTTGTTTTCAAATTTTCAATCAATGTTTGCTATTTCCAGTTTCATATTTGGTAATTCTGGCATTTTATTTTCACTTTGGATGTTCTTATGTGACATCATATTTGGAGTTGAATTTTTTTCATCAATCGCTCAATAGGGTGTTAATTCAGGTTTTTTTCTATTGTTAATAGATACTTAAAATACTATCCTTATTTTTAACATGGTCAGAAAGCGAGCGCTCTAGCTACGCGCATATATATATATATATATATATATATATATATATATATCTCTTTACATCCGATATATTTCTATTTATATATATATATATATATATATATATATATATATATATATATATATATATATACACTGATGTTTCGTTATAAGATTAGATTTTAGGAAGTTGGTTGGGCTGATAACCTCGTAACACATTCTCCTATATACGAGCGAGAATTGATAAGTCCTTAACTATCACGTAGCTATTAGCTGAATTTTGTCTTGTATACTATCTGTATAATGACTTATGAATGTAGTTAATCTTCTATACTGAATTGTATTATTGAAAATGAGGTTAATTACATTAAAAATTAAATGTTTGTGTAAATCAAATGGGTTTTTAGTCATTAGCGTGTGGACCTATTGACGTTCTTAGGTATATATGTATGTACAGATTAAATCTTTTCACGTGCATTATTACAGATTCTAAAATATGCGTATTCGCATCACGCACATAGTATAAACAAACAGATATTCACGCATAGATGTGTGTATGAGAGTTTGTGCGTGCGCACGTATACACACAGACGCACATACATATTATTATTATTATTATTATTAAAGAAAAAGAAAATGTTGGTAGAACCAACCGACAACTTGCCAAAAGACTTAATACCCTTAAACAAGATAAAATCTTGAACATGATCAGCAATAAGAAAAAAGAAATGATCTAAAGGCAAACACCTATCTAATGAGTAAAGTGCTCAATGCCTAGATTACCTAGACAAAGCAAAAACGCTTGACAAATTTAATTCCTATGAAAGGATGGCACTAGTTGTAACACGAGTTTTACATTCCCGCGATCTTAAGACAACTTGAACGCAAATAAAAATATATATATATATATATATATATATATATATATATATATATATATATATATATATATATATATATGGAACAGAGCTTATTTTAACTCAATTTAATTTTTAAAATTATATTGAAGTTTTCGGCTCTTGTTTTTTGAAACATGGGACTTCTTATGTCATGATTTGGAATCATATTTTTTTAAATAAATAAATTATATATATATATATATATATATATATATATATATATATATATATATGGTTTGTTGTACAAAATGTATGGCCTCTATGAAAAGACAAAATTTATTTTTCTTACCACTCATGAGGATAATAGATAAAAAGTAAAACTGAAAAACTGGTTAGCTAACCGGTTTCGAACCTCGCTCAACTGAACTAAATCGAGGTTAATAAATTAAATAGAATTAGCAGTAAAAAGAGATGGACAATATGTATTAGGGAGGAGAAAAAATTGCTTAGATGGAAATTAGTTGGAGGCCCAGTAACAAGTCCTTCTGTTTACACAAAGATGGCTTCAACTATAAAATATAAATGGCCTCCAGTTAGAATGTCTTAATGGGTGTACTTAAGATGGCGGATTTCGTTGGAACGTGTTGCTTTATTCTGACATCCAGCCTTTGAGTCGTTCTCCCTATATAGTGTGAGCCACAACTACATTTAAAAGAATAAATTAAAGAACTATTATGATTCTAAATATTTCAGGAGCTTTATTTTTCAATTAGCTAATGATGTAACTGGATAGTACTTATGTATCTTTAACACATTTAACAGTTTATATTATCACATTATATAAACCCTTACAAATAAACAAAAATTGTAAATTTGCAGAAGATTTATTTTTCAATTTGTTAATGATGTTATTGGATAGTACTTATGTATTTTAAAGTATTTAACAGTTTATAGCTACAGGAGAGTGTATAAATAATATATATATATATATATATATATATATATATATATATATATATATATATATATAATTAAAACGGAAAGTTAAGTGAGTGGTATTATTTCAC